TGGGGGACCAGGAAGAAGTGTGCCCTGAAAAAGCCGGTAAGTCTCCTGTGGACCAATTAATTGCTTACCTTACCTGCTTTCAACGCACGATTTGTAACCAGAGTTGGCCATTTTCTTTTTAAATCCATCGAGTTTTTTCATAAGACAAATTGTGATGTCACGAGGCATGTAATGGGCTGATTTTGTTCCATCTTCTTGGTCATTTGCCCCAAATTTCTTTGAGTGGTCCCTCATGGCCGCTTTAACCACATGTTTTCTATAGTTTTGGTTTGTGCGTCGTCAGTTTTGACGCCAACAAGCACATACAAATGAACTGAATAATAATGCAAGTTCAAAACAGTCAAGAATTAGCTTTGTCATGTTCTTATCACAAGTGCTGCTGTCAGCAGATAGGTGAGCTGAGATAATGTTGAACATATGGGCTATTTAAGTCAGGTTAAGTTGGTCAGGGGCATGGCAAGTGGCAATAGGAATTGTGCAAGAATCAGTAGCTCACAACTGCCGCTGTGATACAAACAGGTTAGACAGGATGAGATGAAGTAAGGCCTCCTTAGGTTAGGCATATGCTACTTTCACGGAATAAACATTGGCATTTTATAAGAAACAGTGACAAAGTACTTGTTTTTGTTTTCCCTGACCCTACCTTAACAGAAGCCAAAGGTATGTCTGTTGTGTTTGACTTGGTGATGGGCTGGTGTGTAGGAGTCCAAGCTTTTTTTGCTGGAGTGTTTTATGCTTGTTGAATTTTCTGTTGTTATTCTTGTTATTGGATTCGTTTGCTCTGCTTTGTTTTGTTTTAAAAGTGCTGTGGAAGGGAAGTGAAAAATGCACCATCAAATTATTGGTGTTCATAATTTGTTATGCTCATAATACTGTCATGAAATCACTATGCTTCAACACGCGCCCAGTTGGCCGGCTAGATACCCTTCGCTCGGGTGGGGGGGGGGGCAATTTGACGCCACTGAGATCTAGGGAACTAAGAAAGCTAGAGACACCAAGTTTACAGGGTGTCTTGAACTATACGTTAACTCACTTAGGTTACGGTTTCAGCTTCCTAAGCCATGACCTTCAGGTCAAATCAGGTAAAACAAGGTTAGATTCAATGTTGGTCTCCAAAGCGCCCCAAAAATCTAGGCAACTGTCTCTAAGCAAAAGGCCGAAAGCTCATTTGAGGTCATTGACCTTTTTTACCTTTTAAAGCTCGTGGTGACCAAAATGATACAAGGCTGCTCTGAGTTTTGCATTTGAATAAGCGACAAAGATACTCGCTAGGCAATATGTTCATTAAAAAACAAAAAGTTTGACCCGGTTCATCTTAGGGCAATGACCTCTTTTGACCTCTGAGAAGTCAACTGAAGAGGCGTTATGCGGTTCCTGCTGTTAATAAATTCAAAATGAGCACCAGAAACTATACCATACAGCAAGCCCTAGAGAAATAAATCAAGTTGGTTTTGACCTTGGTCTGACCTTTATACCTGACCTTAGGTCAACTTAATTTACTCATTCAATATTTATGGTGCCTAAGAAAGCATCTCAGAGATGTATGTCTTGGTCAAACACTCCGTTGTTGTATCAGATTGATTCCCTAGATTCCCTAGAAATTGCCTTCGCTGAAACCATGGCTTGACTTTAACCTGTCATAGGTCAGCGACCTTATCAGGTGCATCTAAAAAGTTTGTCAAACGATCCGCTATGCAATTTTCTACAGCCATGCAAAATTTGGCGCGGCTACGCCGCGCTACGCCAAATTACGCCTCGCCAAACACCGCGCCGTTGAAAAAACATTCGGGGAAAAACCTCAGGGGAGGGGGTCAATTTGATCCCCCACCCGAGCGCACGTTAATGTATTCTGTTTCACTTTAATGGCCTAAGATGTAACAAAATAGTTTTCAGTTTCCTGATATTACGTCCATGCCAACTTGAAACAGGTGCCTCTGTCTGCTGAAGCATCAGTCACGAGCTCATAAGTTCCATTTTTTGTGAATTGATTTTTTCACTCCCGTACGGTCCTTTTGCGATGGAATTTTTTACTCGCACCCTAGTTCAAAAGCGATTCTAGCTCCTTGCTCTTCTTACCATCAATATGTACTCCCGAGCTAACTGCTGGCATGGACGCCAGCCAAGCATCGTGTGATGGCTGTTTTCGATGTAACGCCCTGAAAGCAAAGGAGACTCAGAGTGAACTTCTCGCACCAGGCACCAAACACAAAATGCGCTACATGCCCTCGTGCGCAGTGAATTTGGCAACGGAGTCCTGGTCACCTGCACCGACGCCAAAAATTGGGGAACGGCCTTCGACCATTATCACTCCTGGGAATCGCACGTCGCTTAACTGCCTCGGAAATCTGTTGCGGCCCTGCCTGCGGTCTTCCATCTCCGCCATTACCTGCTCTCTGGTTCCTTGTCCACCACTCTTACCGGCCTGGTTTTCTCGCTCTCCGATCTCCGTTATTTGTTTTCCGGTATACGATAGCAGTTAGACCAAAAACATGGCCAAAGTTCATATAAATATACTCTGCCGATTTAATCAGACCGGCAAAACAAAATGCGAAGCCATTTTTGACTTGCATCAAGGCCTGGACTGAACGAACACCCATGGCATGTACAGCTTATGAGCCTCACGCTTTTATACAACATCCGCATGACATATGAGCTTGAAGCTCTGGCCACTAGATTTCACACCAGTCACGAGGGACATTATCACATGTGGAGCACATAGCACGGCACGCTTCTCCAGCCTCCCTGCTAATCGCTGCATCGCAGCGGGAAAAAGACACTTTGCACACGAGTCTTACAATGCGCTGCCGCCGAAATATTCCGCCATGACCACATTGTCTGCCTATTTGTTGCTTTGCGCGGGGTCTTATTGTATGTGCCTGCGAATGCGGCAAGCATACAAGTTCCCCCCGTTGAGCATATTCGTCCTGGCATGACTTGAACCCCCAAAACTTACGTTGGTTTCGGCCATTCACCGAGAACAGAACAACAAAGTCAACGACACGAACTAGTAAAGATCTGACCGCATCGCCAGCCTGAGTTTTCCTCAGCCTCCATTTGTGGCAACGCAAGAGACTGGTTTTTCCCCTCACACTGCTGGCTGCCGATGCTACGCTACAACAAACAAGTGATTCGCGGAAACCAGGTCGCACGCGATGGCGGTGAGGCCGCGGACCGAAACAGCCACGCGGTGACTTGGCCTCCAGAGCCCAGCCCGGCCGGCGATATCCGTGAGAACGTTACACGAATTGAAGAGTCTGCCCTTCATGAGAGTTTTGCAGGCGGAGGTTCACTGATGCAGGATGAGTGTCGTGTCGGGACTCTGGGTGCTAGTTAATCGAGACATACCACTGTCTGGAATATCGCTGGCGAGGAGTCTGGCCGCACTTGGCAATTTTAGCGACGAAATCGGTGAATTTGCGATGAGTCACGGTTGTGCGGAGGTTTCGCCAATGCTCCGGAAACGGAAATATTTTGAGCCGATGCCGGCAACACCAAACAGAGCTACATGTCTGTGTAATTTGTGTGACTATTTCGGCTCAGACAACAGCATCCTGCATTCCGCCTTCGCTTCACGGCTTCGCTCAGTGAAAGTTTCACGGCTCCGTTCAGCAATGCAAGTGGGGGAACCACTGGAGCTTACCAGGTGTGTAATTCTGTGGGCGAGGCCCGTCAGCCTTGTGGCCCCGAGTCACCGCATTTTCACAGAGTCACAGGAAGAATGAAAGCAGGTGTGCAAAAAGTGACCGAAAGCAGTCCCCCACTAAGAACTATGATCCCCAGGCGCGGGCAATGGGCAAGAATATGCGGTAGATTTGTCCCACCCTAATGCGACCGTCCACTATTCGATAACATGACAACCAGCTTTCCTGCAGCAACAGGCCAAATATGGAAAATCCCACCTCTGGAATCTGGGACAATGAGATGGCCAAGCTGACAAGGAAGCGTCTGAGGTCGGTGGACCTCTCCCCCCTTTGCTTCGCACCAGGTCTACATAATAAGTTCGCTTTACTATCTTAGTGGTAAAACGGGAAATCCCCGTTTGCGTGGCACCAGGTGCACATAATTCGCTTTACCACCATGATGAGGGGAAGCCCAAGACCCGGCTACTAGGAAGAGCCAGGAAGTCACAGAGTTCCAGTTTACCCTGGTATCACGTCTCAGAAACCGGATAATAAAAAATCACGGAGCGCTCTGTTGTCTCTCCTAACCCGCCATCTTACCCTGTACATAAAAAGGAACTGCGACGCACGCCATCGCACCCCTTGATTGGACGCCAGCGACTGCATTGGCCACATTAGCGTTCAGGGATCATGGTGCAACCGGCATTCAAAGCCGGGAAATCATGGCACCAACAATCCATCACACTCTTCTGCTGAATTTGTGCAAGAGTGCTGGGTGACAATCCCGCTGGGACGGAATATTGCGTCGATTCCAGCGCTGGCTGATTCCAGCTACGGCGGCGCCTAGAGACGCTCTCACGGTCCAGCAAGCTATCGGTGAGACGTGGCACAGCGATGCTGATCTACTCAGCCGTTTATCCAGGTAATATAATATAAACACAAATATATATGCACCCCAAATCCTGTATATCGACGCCTAACAGAATCCCGTTCATACGTTATGCAAAATTGCAGTTACCGTCATCGTAGGGTAACGCGAGGCATTGGGCCTGAGCGCGGAAAATAACTCCGTCACTAGTCAATGCCAGGACAATAATATAAAAACGATGTTCGTGCAGCTAGCACTCATTGCTACAACCGCCGCACTGAACGATTCCAGCAAGGTCTGGAGATGGCTTGAAGGCCATGCCGTGTCCGGCCCTTAGTTCTTCATTGCCTTTATGATGCCGGATGTCTGGGCTTAGCACCAAGTTGCTGCGGCTTAGCCGAGCCGAGCGAAACACGCCTGACACCCCGGACAGCGAGTGCTTCGGAATTTAGTGACGGCGTCGTACGCCTACACAGATGCGTGAGTTCTGGAGGTCAGGGGAAACGGAGAGCTCAGTGTACGGTTATGTGTATTGTAACAAAACGGCGTTCATCGCATACATGCTGGCAGGGTTCTACCAGCGGGTGGGCTGTTCACCCGTGAGGTCCATGTCCTCTCGGTCCTCCGGGAGCATCTCGGCTGGATCTTCTGCATCGACGTCCTCTTCACCATCTTGTCTATTTAAGAACGCCCATTCATCCACGCTGACAGATTTCTTGACTGGAAAGTGTAGAACACGTCGTTCAATCTTTGGCTTTACGCATAGACGTTTTACTATTCGACCACACAGGCACCAACTTTTTGAAGTCCGCTACACATCGGGAAAGCGTGTCAAACTTATCCCCCCACCAGTTTTCTCTTCACTGTCAATCCAGCCAACCAACGAATTGGTCTCAACCACAAGCTGGTCACCAAACTTGGGCCTGCAAAGATCCCCCCACGAAGACATCCACAGAACACAACAAAATCACCGCTCCACAGCCTTCTGCGGTCACATCTTCACACTCCCTGCGGCGCAGCCCGACGCCTACCTCTCGCCTCGCGCCACGCCGCGTCCCAGCGCTCCGACCCTCGCCTCTGCCCCGGCGCAGCCTGACGCCTACCTCTCGCCTCGCGCCTCGCCGCGTCCCAGCGCTCCGGCCCTCACCTCTGCCCCGGCGCAACCGCGCCCACTTTTGCTGTCGGGTGAAGCGGGCGAACGAGGCCTGCTCGTCGAGCTCGCTGCCGGGCGCCGGTGGCGGCGCCGGCGTCACCGCCTCCGGGTACACGGCGACCTGGCGGTGCGGCGCCGTCGACCGCTGGATGCGCCGCTGGACCTGCCACGCACCGGACAGCGGTCAGGACACGGGCGGGCAGAGAAGAGCGGCGCTGGGCGGTGGCGGTGCGGCGCGGCGGAGACGCAGCAGCCTCGATCACTAACAGGCTGTGCGTTCCTGCAGGCGAGTGGCGGCGTCCTCAAGTAACGACAGCCAGCGTAAGCCGCATGAACTTTTTCAAGCGAACGCATGGCTGACAGAGGGAAAGACTAACTGGACAAATATGTGACCTTTGCTAAACATCTGGTTCATCGCGGTACACGCTACGTACCGGCTACGAATACGACGAATACGAACCTGTCCATTTGGGCACGGAAACAGCACGCACACTGACCAGGTCTGTCACGCCAACACCAAACGGACAAAGCCGTCCCACTCAGTGCCGCACACCAGGAGGTGGGTCTCGCACGTACATCCTTCCTCCCTGCCAGGACAGAGCAGCGCGGTGTCGTCCGCGCCGCTCTGCCGCGGGCCCCACCTCTGCCAGGATGGCGGCGTGGTTCAGACCGCCCGTCGAGTGCGGCATCTCGGGCGGCTCCGGCTCACCCGGCCCGGCTGCGGGCGCGCGGTTCCCGCTCAGCAGGTCCGCCTGCGGGGCAGACGCCGGCTCTGCCGGTCACGTGACGCGACAGTGGCATCCTTTCGCCGACGTCCGTTTCTTTCCACGCCAACATTTGTGACATGTATTCTGCTGCTGCACAACCTAAATGAACAAGACTTACGGACATCTGACCAGTGAAACAAAACTAGCGGAACCATTAGCGGTGCTTGATCAATGGACATTCATCCTCGTCACCGATCAGTGAAACGCATCACCATGTCACCGTATTTCTGGCGGTGATTGGCCAGTGTAACTAACAGCCTTCACCGTATCGATAGCGCTGAATGGCCAGTGTATCAGCCCTCACCGTATGGCTGGTGGACAGTGGTCGGCCCAGCACGCCCTGGCGTTTGACGAAGTGGGTCGGGTCGGTCGGCACGAAGTCCGGTCCAAAGTCAGCCAGTGCCAACTGCCGCTCCACCTCCAGCAGCGCCGTGTTGTCAGAGTCTGGCCGGCCAGAGGCGGCGTGAGACCGAGCGCGAAGCCCGAGCACAGCCCAACCGAAACACCGCAAGATGAAGTTCGAAGCCCGAGCGCGGCCCAACCGAAACACCGCAAGATGAAGTGCGAAGCTCGAGCGCGGCCCAACCGAAACACCGCAAGATGAAGTTCGAAACCCGAGCGCGGCCCAACCGAAACACCGCAAGATGGAGTGCGAAGCCCGAGCGCGGCCCAACAGCGAGTCCGTCTCGACGTCCTGACGGCAGTGCCACGAGACCCGAGTGTGGGCCACAGGTCAGCTCCGGCAATGGTGCCGTGGGACCAAGTCTAGGGCGCGGGTCAGGCACGAACAGCAGAGGAATACCGAACACACATTGGCGAGGCACCGGACTACGGGTGATCGCGCAGCCAACGCAGAAACTGCAGCCCAGGAACGCTGAAATAAGTCCCTCAAACAACATGGTCACTCAGCACTCCACTCCCTCAACACATCGTCACTGCTCTGTTTACATCATGAACGGAAAACAATATAATTGCTAGATGTGTCCGCACACCCGACAGCTCTCAATGTAGGGCATGCCCGAGCTGAAAGTCATGAGAGAGCGCATGTCCGGGATATGAGGCAGCAGGTAAGCAGCTACAACTAGCAATGCCTCGACGGCTCCAGCATCCTCAACGACATAGCCCGTGCCCGCAGATGGCTCAAACAGTGCAGCCAGATAGCAGTGTTTCCACACAGCCCGGGCAGTCCGGACAGACCAGCTAGCCGACCTTGCACCGCGAGAAGTTGTCCACCTACCGCGCACGAACTTGACGCCAGGCACGTGGCCGGTGACGCGCTGCTGGGTGAGCGCGTCCCGCACGTCTCGGGAGGAGGCCTCCAGCCGTTCGGCCAGGGCTCGCTCGTCCGCGCTGGCCGGCGCCGTCCAGAACACGTACACCAGCCGCATGTTGCCAGACAGCTGCACCTGCGGTGAAGCGGGGTGGGCTGTCGGCCGGCGGCGGAGGCGCGGGGCATGGCAAGAAGTGTATGCGAAAGGGGGGGGGGGAGGGGTAAGAGGGCGTTCCTGTAGCATGTCGAGGCAAGCAAAGGCTTTAGACTGAACTGATGCAACCAGCATGCCGTACGGTCACAATATTGTCGCGTCAGAATATTAATTCAGCCATAATGAAAATATCATAATCATCTGGGAAGCCATATAAAGCATCATCACAAATGCTGAAGAGAGGCGGACCACAGTTCTTCATCAATTTAAAAATGGTGTTTCCTCCTATTCCCTGCCATCAGTGTAAGCGCAAGCTGAGTTAAATGCTCAGTATGCTGGCAGGATATACGTACCGGCATGTACATCTTGGAAGTTCCGCACACGCAACTAGTACCACAATTAGTTATAGCGAAGGCTACGAACGATGGTGATGTCTGTTTGAAGCGCTTCGGCTAGCACTTCCCCATTCCCAGCCCACGAAGTGTCTTACATTCGGTGTTTGTGTGGTCTAACGAGCTTGTTAGGGGTGTCCCACAAGCCGTGACCCGCGGGGTGAGGAGAATCTGTTCCCCCAGCAAATTGTATGCATCCCAAAAAGAAATAACGACGCCCACACGAAACTTTCACCGGCCTCTTCCACAACCATTCCAGACTGGTTGTGACCCGAAATCATTTACAAACTAAATGGTAAGTTACATTATCCGCAGGACTCATCTTTGAACAAGCAATTTCCTAAACACATGTTTTCAAAACCATACATGCATTCAACTTTATGCAGTTTCGATTTTTCCTCAAATTTGAGAAGAAAAAAACAGGGGCCTATATAATGCAGATGAGCTTCATGCACACATCGGAATTCTGAAGTCGTTAAATTGGTTCGTTGCTGAGTTTTATGCTTCCAAAGGTCAACATTCCGGTGTGGTTTGTGGCTGCCGCTCGGCTGGAGCCAAGCTTTGAATCCCAAGCACCAGAATGCGTACTGAAAGGCACTTACACTATGTTGTGCTGCAATCAATAGCCGGGACACACGTGCTATATGACTGCAATCGATTGCCATATGTTGACCTTCCATGACCTGACTGACCTTTACGTACCATGGAATATCACTCACACAGTATATTTACCAGGTTCTGCAGAGTTCTTTTGCAGGAAATGGCCACCGTGATTCTGTTTGAGTGGATTGTTGATGTATGTATGTAAGTAATGTAACTGGTGCACGTGCTTTACAACCTCCCGAAGACCTTCCGACTGGCGCGTGATTCGTTCAAATCAGGTGACTTGTCACGGAGATAGACAGGAGCAGAAGAACCCCACGGTAGAGTGTGTTCGGCACTCAACCCCAGGAGCGCCAGAGTTAAGGCACAGTTTACACGAAGCCTGACTGTAGATTGAAAAGAAATGAAGTGTATGGCGTAACTCCATCTTTCAACAAATGAGCGACGTCATAGTCACGGTATGCTCGCATGAAGGATACATGCGAGGCCTTTGGTACCTAGCGGCAAACCATCCACTGGAATGTGTTGGGCGACATGTCCCCGAACCAGTTCGATGCTGGGCTGCTGCCGCGTTGCTCGCTCCGAATGCTCGCGTGCTGTTCGTGTGGCCGACGCGCTGATTCGTCGATATAGTTTTTTCCTAGTTTGACAAAAGAAGGCTGCGCCCGGTTCAAATCCTTATCGTGATGTCTCTACGTCCGTTTTGGTTGTTTTTCCTTGTTCTGCCCCCTCACTGCTCTGCTTAGGTAAACACATGCTTGAAGACGTAGGTATGCGGTCTTGGGTGTGTGATAATTATATTCCTACGCTTCTACGTGTATCTTGAGCTGATCTGTCATGTATGATTTATGAGGGGGCTAAAAAACTGAGAAATTTCCATACACTTGATATAAGAAAGAAAACTGATTAAAAGTTCTTATGTTGAACAAACGACCTTCCATTACCAGGAAGTGTTAACTTAACGACACTGCAGTGATAAATAACGATTTTAATGACGGCACTCAGTCTTTCGAGCTGAGCTCATCCTTGAGGATGAGCACAGCTCGAAATATAGAGTACCGCCAATATAATCGTTGTTTAGCACTGCAGCGTTGTTTAACCACCGCCTTCCTGGCATACTCAAGACTATTAGCCCAAGAACTTGAGAATCATTAATCCTAATGTCATGTATAAAAAACAAATTCCTTACAGCTAGCAGCATATATCACAACAGCTCGCGCAGTACAGAAAAAAAAACGGCTAGCTCATTTGACGAAAACGTAAATTCTATTTGATCAATCTGATAGGAACTCACATTTTCAACTCAACCTCAAAGCATCGTTTGGGGTATTTAAGGGTGGTGAAATGAATATATAATGCATCTGATGCAGCTGCTATCGTAAGCACGCATGCTTTGTACATGCAAGAGTGAGGAAAATTCCCGAAAAAATTCAGTGGAGCCTAAAGATTAGAAAGCGATAACAAAATCCGATAATGTCCGCTATCATCTACAAGCCTTCGGCAAGATATCAAGTTCCCGACTGGTTCCGTCACAACTGCAGTGTAGCGGACACCAGCAATCGAGAGCTAACAGTAAGTCACGACACCAGACAGGGAACAAGCCAAACTTTAAACGAGGCGGAGATTAAAACAAAATGGGACTATCACGACACGAACAACCGACTCTGCGACCGCATTCGCGATGTGGAGGGATGGAAACTCGTGCTGGAGCGAACGTTAGCCGAGACGGATGCCGAGATCAAAGCCCTCTCAAATGCAAAAACGGCAGCCGAAGATGAGCTGGAACAACGTCACTTTGATTTAGAGACGGGCCTGGAGACGTTGGCGTTACGGGAAGGCCGGCGAACAGTCGACATTGTCAAGGATGAAGTGGAAATTCAGCTCAACGAGGAGATTCAGGTGATCAAAGACTACCGCAGTGAACTTCAGGAGCGCTGCAACCAGGCCTTTGAGCAGCTGAGTCGCCTCACAGAGGCGCGTCAGAAGCTGCAGAACGACATCACCGACAAGTACAAGGCGCTGGACATCGACGGCTTGTGCCTCTCGATGACGCCGCAGAGCCCCAACATCAGCTTCAAGCCGCACTGCATGCGCATGCCCAAGGACACGATCTCCGTACAACAGTGGCAGGACAACTCGCGGCACAATAAGGAGCGCGCCGACTACCAGATGTGCCAGTCGCGTAAGCTGCGGGATGCTATCATGGCGACGCTCGCGCAGGGCCGCAACCGGCTGGACGCCCACCACACGGCCGTGCAGTTCGCGCTGCGCCAGCGCCTGCACGAGATGCACCAGACGCACGACGACCTCGTCTGGCAGCGCACCAAGCTGGAGCAGGAGATGGCCACCGTCGAGGAGGACATCCGTCGCCTGGAGGCGGCCATCCGCGACAAGGACCCCTACCGCAAGCTGGCCGAGACGCGGCTCGAGTACCGCATGGACCGGCCGAACATGGAGCTGGCGTACGACCCGCCCTGGCACGGCCTGCGCGAGGAGCGCCTCAGCATACAGGCCACGCAGGAGCTGCTTCAGGCGCGGCTGCAGCAGCTCTGGGACGCGCTGGACCGGCTCCGCCGCCAGCTGGCGCGCGTCAACGAGGACATCTCGGTCAAGGCCAACTCGATCCGGCTGGACCGGCTCAGCCTGGAGACGCACGGCCGGACACGGCCGCCGGCGCCGCCCAAGGACCGGAACTACCTGGACAAGGTGCTGCTGCTGCGGCCGGAGCGCACCATCTGCGAGCGCGGCGTGCACTACCTACCGCGGCCGGAGCTGCTGCCCGGCTACCAGACCGAGCAGGACTGCTCGTACACAGCCGGCTGCTCGGGCAACAACTACCGCCGGCCCTGCCACAACGACCGCGTGCTCGGCTGCTGAGCGCCCCCGGCCGCGGCGAGAGGTCACGGCGCAAGGTCGCCGTGCAAGGAGTCACTGCGCAAGGTCACCGAGCAGTGTCGCCGGCCGACGCAGGGTGTGGATTTTGGCTGGTAAAGTATCCGTTGTCGAACGTTTTTTTTTCTTCTCGGAAATACGCCAGTTGGTACCGTTTTGGTCCGAGTCTGTCGCCAAGTGCTCTGCCTTACAAATCAATACAACAACAAAAGACAAAGAATAGCTGAGTAGAGGCATTGCCGACGCTTCCAACACCACACTTATAAGAAAGCGATTATTTCAAAATGCATCCTGAGCATGGACATACATTCTCGCCAACAAAACCTACCTGTCATTTCAAATTCAGAACGATGATCCAGAAGCGATTCAGAAATCAGAATTCAGAACTCTGGCAATACGTGGCATGAGAGAACCTCTTACAACAGTGAAACCTCTGCAGCCTCTTACAACCAGTGAAAAGGATCACGCCAACATGCTGGCGCAGCGTATATATTAAAATGTACCATTGCGAGTCACCTGGGGGGTGTGTGCGACGGTGGAGCAGAGCTTCGGTGTCTCAGTTCTATCCACGAGTTTGACACAATTTCTTCTTAACTGATATATTCCTTTCTGTGTAGTAGGCATTAGATGTTCAGCGGTCACACGACACGAAGAGCTCACACCGAAGAAAAATTCCACAAAATGTGTACCACCATGAGTTTAAAGCATGCACAAGGTATGTACGTCTGTATCGCCATCTTCCACTTGCCTTGCGTATATATCCACCTCTTGAGGCCATTCTTTGGGGCTACGGCCTTTTATTGTTCTTTTTTGGGGGATTAGAGCCCTTTCGACCAGAAATGATCACTTGAGGGCTATGGGATGAAGGAAAATGGTTACGGGTGGAGCAGACTCGCATACGCCTGGGGGGCCAACCGTCGGCCTTTAACCCGCGCATGCGCGCTGGATAGCCGGTCGGGGCCCCCCTTCCCACGGGGCTCTCGGCCCACTCGTGGCTGACGCACGCAGCCTGCCCCGGACAAGCGGTGTCGCGAGGATGCAGGATGAAGCGAGATAGAGGATAAGAGGGACGGATTATGGGGGTCTACGACCTTCGGGTCAGCAGTTCATAGACATCTTCCATTTGACTTGATATATCTATCTCTTTTGGTCATCCTTTAGATTTACGGCCTGCGGGTCAATATCAGGTTTAGTCCTGAAATCAGACCAGAAGTCCTGGGCTGTTCACTTCCCTCGTTTGAAAATTCAGTTCAGTTGGTAAGTGATTTAAAGCAGAGCTAGGGACGAGCCGACCAGATACGCACCCCCTTCTGCTGTTCCCTGTCCACCATTGAAAGCATTGTCCACCAAAACGTCTCCTGATGCCAAGAAATTACACTTCAAAATCGATGCTTCGAAATCGCAAGTAAAACAAAATCATCGTTTATTTCCACATTCCTGTGTTAAGCCTGGGTCACTCCGTTTATCTGCCTCATCGTCTATAGTCTTACGCAACGATTTGTGGAGGATTGTAAGTTCCGTACAACAATGCTGGAAAGGCGACAGACAAGTTTGATCACAAAAGTCGATGTCTGACCTAGCTCGCCGTGGACGGTCTGACTGCTAGTCACCAGAACATGCACTTAAGGATAACAAAAAATAAGATAATTAGCCTACAAAACAGTTTAGTGTACATTTGCTGCGATCATTTACGGTTTTTGTCATTTGCGAGCACAATTCGGCGACATTACCTTGAAAAAGGTGTCATAGATCACAAGCCATCTAGTTGAGGGTCTTTAGATTTCCACATATTTCAGTATGACGCTAACTTAGCGACTCGAAAGTTAATCGTCGTCCTTAAAGCTGTCCGGAAGATATTCCGGATAAAGCCTCCTTTAAGCCCCCTGTCGTTGGGCGAAGGTTACAAGCCATCTAGCACAGCTAGTTGAACGATCCAACCATCGCAGCTTCGAATGTTTTGTGTTCCCATTTGACGCGAAGCATTTCCGATCAACTTTGCAGCATTAATGATCTGTCCGCGTAGCATTGGGATGGCAGTCCGCGTCGGTTAGAAAAGCTTGCGGTCTGAATGCTGACCCCACCAGCGAAACGGTCCGAGCTATGGCATAATCACGTCAACTTACAAGCCCCTCCCCCCAAAAAAGAAAAATCAGCTGAAAATTTTTCAACGTGGCGTGGCACGCAAAAGCGTAGAACACTCGGCTTTTCGGTTATCGGTATCGGGGAGGTTCGGCAGGTTAACTCAGCTTGCTGGTGGCGATGCCATAATCCAACATTGTCACCACGCCAGCAATCACCTGCTTCCGGGGTGACGTCACCGAGCTCACCTTGCTGATGAGGACACCGTCGTCCAGCAGGCCGGGCAGCACTTCTCCCGTGCTCAGCAGCTCGGTGACGCGCGCCAGGTAGATGGCACTCAGCGCCTCCAGACGGTGCCGGTGCTTGGCGCTGGCGGCGCGCAGCGGCCGCACGCGCACGCTGCCGGCGCCAACGCCAGCGTCCGCCTCGGCGCCCTCCGAGCCGTCCACGGACAGTGGCGTCAGCAGCTGCCTGCGGACAGACGGGCAGGCCGGAATGAGGGCCACTGGTGGTCACAGTCCCCGGGGTCTGCACAGGGCCTGGGCGCGCCTATTGCTGACGGTTCAGTGTTTGAGTGGGCCTGAGTGAAGTGCTGACTATGCTGACCTACTCTGTATGCTTGTCAAAAAATCTTGATAGTAAGCTTAGAACAATTAAACACAGATCAAAAAGCCTCATGATTGTCAAAGAGAAGCTTTGAGGACTTCCTTAAGACTCACCTTTCCTTTTTCTTAGCTGCAGCCAAAAACTTGTTCATCATCTTGGCTTGTTGCCTCGCTGACACTATTGCTTTGATGTTGCCCAAGCTACCAGATGTGCTGATACCACGCCAGAACATGGCTGGCATTACACGAATAAGGCTCATCATGAATGGCTGGAAGAAAATGGCACATTAATTCCAGACGCAAACATCACTTGCGTGCTTTGAGCACGTGCTGCTACATGGTAACCTCTTGAAGCTATGGTACATCTGCACCCAGGCTGGTTTGCCCCAAGCAGCACATGGCATGTGACAGTGGACAACATTGATCATAAGCAATATATTTGAGAACATCCCAAGGTGACAGATGCCAGAGTGGTTTTGAGTGTGGCAGCCTTTATCATGGTGGTGGCACAGGGAGGTTTTGGTAGGTACTAGTGAGTCACCAGCAGGGACACAGTTATCAGATACCTAGTTCCATACCATGCACAATTTGAGGGTGCTGCAGAGTGAATAAGAACAGGTTCTGATTCACTGTGTTGTTGACTTACAATGTCTGTGCTCCCTTGACATCTTTGGTGGTAACATCTAAGCTAATAACCCACAAACACAAGCTTGCAACAATATATCACATAACAGCTCAATAAATAAGCTGTTCATGGTCTTTCCAATTAAATGGATGTTAGGGCATTCAATAGCCAACACACTGGGAGCTACCCTTGCAGCCTGCTGGTGCCACCTGCTGACTACAATCAGAAAACTTTGTGATCAAGTCTCCACATGGCCATTTCAAACAACCATTTCGCCCAAATGGCATTCAAAAACCATCCCACCAGATGAAATGCAAGGAAATCTTATTCATTCCAGCTTTTATTTTCTCAAATATCTTCCTATCTTTCAACTGACTCATAATTGTTGTTTAAATGGTTTGACAGATTACCTGGAATTTGAACCATGCCTGGTCAACTAAACATAACTTTATTCCAACACATTCAAAAAAGGAACACTTGGAAACCTAGTTGTCTTTGATAGCACGACGTGCTTGGCCACTGCCAACAAACCATTTTCCTGTGTAATGGCCCTGGGCATGACACATGACACTTACTAACTTATTTCCTGTTTGAATCCTTGTAGAGGTTAAATGAAACCAAGGCAGCATGATATGAACATAAATTGAAAAGAACCATATTTTTTAGTCAGATTGTAAATCAAAACATCAAAGTCCAAACAGTTCCAGCGGTGTGTGACTCAGGATCATGGTCAGTTCAGTCAAGACAATCAAAGTTGGCCAATGTAATGCACAATATCTTTTACGGTATGCATACTAGATTGTGCTGAATGACGACTGAGCACAAAGTTATTTAAGACCAACACCAGCCTTTCCTTCCCCATAGAAGACATTAGTCGCAATTACTGCGTGAATGGACCAGGAAACCGACCAAGGTTGTCTCTGTTGCGCCATTAACAGCGACAAAGCCAAGTTGTTTTTTAAATACGCGACCTGAAGACGACTTCCTCATGTTGCGCCTGGCAGATGATGCACGACGCTGTTCGTATATTCCTGGAGCCTTTCATCATCTCACACCCACTGGGCAATTTGTGGTCTCTGCTCTCTCGCTGGCTGGTTGGCCATCTCGGGGACGCAAACCTTTTCAAAACCAGCTTGACTCCTCTCTCCCACGTCCTCTGCGCCATCATTTAGCGAGACTCTCCGTTTCTTTCTCACCTTTTCTTGCTGTCTCAAGCACTCGCTGTCTCAAATTATTGTGCGTGACGCATAGAAGCGCCATCCGTCGCTCAGTTCCGGGAAATGCGGCGGCAGAGTTGTGTGCTGACCACACATCGGACCGCGCGCGTACGCCCTCAATTCTATTGCGCTGTCACTGAGACGGCTTATTGACGATTATGTCTATCTCAGGATCACCTTGAAGCAGTAGCTGTTTGGAAAGAGCACTATCATTGCAGAGCATTTTGCATCAATTATGGCGGAAACACCACCCCGATGTCATATCGTTAGTGTCATCACTCATTTCGCGCGCATCAAATTTGATATGGTCTAACGTGCCATCAGACAACGCTTTCTCTGAGTTTTTTATTGATCGCAACAGACCTGCACTGTTCTCACATGAACAACAATAATACCTGACAAGCAGTTCGGTTCCACGTGAACAGACGTCTACACTCACCGCAAATCAAGAAGGCGATTGGTGGATTTCGACCCTCACACCCACCAAGTTTAACAACATTTAAAATCAAAAGCATCAAAGTAACATAAAACGCCACGCCACAGGTGCCAACACCACCTTCCCTGAACCTGTCCTGAACACGCCCTGCTGCGCGACTCCACTGCGTCAACGCCCTGATCCCTCCGCCGGATTCACAGCGCGCCGCGTCTGGCATTCGTTCACGGGCCACCAGCGGCGCTCCACCTCCACCAGCAGCCGGCCCAGCGGCCTCGCGCCGCTCCGGCCGCCGCGTGGCCTCCGGTCAGCAGTAGCGGGCGTCCGGTGTGTTCCTGACGATCCAGTCGAGCGCGGCCGGCACCTTGGCGTAGACGCCGGGCGCCAGCGGCAGCGCGCAGCCGATGCCCCAGCTGGTGAGGCCGAGCAGCATGCGTCGACCCGGCTGCCAGCGCGCGCGCACCGTCAGCGGTCCGCCCGAGTCGCCCTGCGGCACGGTCGACCACGTGTGTCACGGGGCTGCCGGTGGCCAACGGAGCGGCCCGGTGGGAGCGCGCGGCCGCCGTCGGGGGGCCGGTGCACCAACAACTGTACGTCACAAGGCGCTGTGGCAGCGACAACGGATGTTGTTGTTGTTGATTGGAGTTTTAGGGCGCGTCGACTACTGCGGTCATTTTGCGCCCATAACAGCCAAATGACTAGCTTCGGAGTGTGACTATGAAATGACTAGAAAATATGCATTATTCAGAAATATAAACGGCTGAGTTGTATCGGGAACGCGTCATGATGTGGTGGCTTACCCCGGCTCTATTTTGGCTTTATCAACGTGCTGGATCTGCAACCCCGCCGATGGGGACCAAAACAGTCACAACCCCTGTCTATTTCCGCCAACACTGGCCACTGGAATACCAGTGAAGCTCTTGCCACTAAAATCACCACATCTAAGACCCCCGCACCCACGCTTGCCAGCATCAACAGCCGACCGGCCCGGCAGCGGGGCGCGCGGCTGGGGCCACACCTGGCACACGCAGGCGCGAACCGGCCAGCGATGCAGCCGCAACGCCGACTGCCGCTCACCGAACATGTGTCGGCGCCGCCGGCTATCAGTCTGCCCGTGGCGCAGAGCATGGTGCGCGCCAGCGTCACCGGGTTCAGCAGGCCGCACACCAGGCTGGAGACGGTGCGCAGGCGGACGGCGCGAAGCCGCTCCGGCTGCTGGCCGCCCTGTAGACACCGAGGCGCCGCCGGTCACGGCTCGCCGCCGGCAACGGCTCGCCAGTGGGGGCGGCCCGGACCGCGCCGGCAGACGAGACAGGCGCTGGTGACCACACGTGGACAGTCACCGACAGGTGGAGGCAGTAAGTAGAGATCTCTGCACGCAGTAAAAGCGACGAACGAAAAATACGCGTACTATGAGCTCATCGCGGCGATCCGCATCCTGGTGTCAGTTAGTTTTTCGATAAGGGTGATAACAATCGGTCCTATACCACAACAAACATGACATGCCGAGTCTGGAAACTCATGACACACAGATCAAACTCGACATGGCTTATCAAAACGATACACAGATCAAGGCTGACCAGTCGACAGTGAGCCAGCCATACAAGCAGGCCTTAAACACAACTCCCGAGCTTCCCCCACGTCCCCCACTGCCGGCCGTGGCTAGGCCTACCCCTATGTGCCGCCCCACCTCAGTGGTGCCCCAGCCGGCAGCCACCGCCGGCTCTCGCACGTAGGGTATCCGGTAGGGCAGGCAGACCGGTGCGATCAGGTTGCCTCCGATCGGCAGGTCCAGCGGAGTCGCCAGCTTCAGCAACGCGTAGTCGTACCACAGAAAGATCGTGCTGAATAGCGGATGGGTCTTCACCTGCGGAGAGACGTCGCGGGCGCTGCAGTCTACGCGACGGGTGGCCACTGGCCAGCCTCACATACAGACAGTCACACACAGTTCAGCTGAGCGTCCACACACAGTACAACTGAGTGTCCACACACAGCACAGCTGAGCGTCCACACACAGTACAGCTGAGCATCCACACACAGTACAGATGAGCGTCCACACACAGCACAGCTGAGTGTCCACACACAGCACAACTGAGCGTCCACACACAGTACAGCTGAGTGTCCACACACAGTACAGCTGAGCGTCCACACACAGTACAGCTGAGCATCCACACACAGTACAGATGAGCATCCACACACAGTACAGCTGAGTGTCCACACACAGTACAGCTAAGCGTCCACACACAGTACAGCTGTGCATCCACACACAGTACAGCTGAGCATCCACACACAGTACAGCTGAGTGTCCACACACAGTACAGCTGAGCGTCCACACACAGTACAGCTGAGCGTCCACACACAGTACAGCTGAGCGTCCACACAGTACAGCTGAGCGTCCACACACAGTATAGCTGAGCGTCCACACACAGTACAGCTGAGCGTCCACACACAGTACAGATGAGCGTCCACACACAGTACAGCTGAGTGTCCACGCACAGTACAGCTGAGCGTCCACACACAGTGCAACTGAGTGTCCACATACAGTACAGCTGAGCGTTCACACACAGTACAGCTGAGCGTCCACACACAGTACAGCTGCGGTCGAAATTCGCGTCGCGGCCCACGTCATGACTACCGCGGTCGGCGGTTCCAACAGTAATAAAACAACTTAGAGCCGCATAGCATCAATATTGCCTTAAGCCGTCTGCCACTCAAATCCTATCAACACGGCCACACTGAACCGCCCTGTCGGTGCTAATCGAAGAGTACTCTCTGTTGTTGTTAATGAGGATTTTAGGGCGCGCCGACTGCATGGGGCTGATCTGAACAAATAAGGGCTCGGGCCCGACTGGGTCGGTGGCAGACCGTCTGCCGTGACATACCGCACCCTCATGCCGGCATCAGCATCCGCGTCCGTACACACAGCCATCGCCGCGGCGTGCACACACACACGGCCGTGCGTGAAGAGGACAAACGAGAGGCTGTACAGAATGGCACCTTGTGTTGACGGCCCAGCACCGGCGGCAGAGATCTCACCTCGGACAGCTCGAGCAGCAGGTCGGTGCTTGAGTTTCGGCGCAGCTCGTGCTTTCCCAGGATGACCCGCGTGTCCTGAGGTCGCGTCCCCACCACGCAGTGGGCCGCCGTCATCACGTAGCGGTCGTTGATCAGAGAGCCACCGCAGAAGGGCCGTGCTTCGCCGGGCAGCACCAGCGCCGCCTGTCGGAAAAAGACGGAACTCACCCATCGACTCGTAAAGCTCGCCGACATTCTAGATGCAGTCAACGCGGACACACAGAACACGGCAGAAGCCTGTACCTAGGCCTGGAGTGAGGGTGCAGTGCCGATACCTGAGGTGAATGAAAATGATTGTGAGGCAATGGTGTACATTGACACATTCATACACACGCACATTTACATCATAAATGCGCACATTCATAAAAATAGTAGATTGCTACATTGAAACCACGTATACCTACACGCCGTAACAAAACCAGTGCAGTATGAGGTAAGAATATCAATGCAGCGACACAATCCTCCGACAACTACTGAGTGAAGCAAGTCGCAGCACAAAAATTGCACTGGTTGCGACCTCACGCGTTTTTATGTTTTAGCAGTTGAGTCCGACCTCCGTAAAACAATTCGGACGACGCCCCCCTCCCCCCCCCCCTTTGACTTGCAATGTGCTGGGTAACGACTTAAACCCAAATGAACAACTGACAAACCCTGACAAAACCTTGTTGCTCAAGAACATGACTCCTGCACATTCATTCCCCAACTATAGAAAAGCTATGTCACAAACACTACGCCTCGATGGGGCACACCTACGATAGCTCGCCAAGACCCGAAGCGGTCATAAGTCTGTGTTTGTAGGGTTACAGCGAAATCCACAACGGCCGATGAAAATGTGCCGTTGTGAACATCTATCCATAATCATACACCTATGAACTGAACCGGAATCAAACAACGACACCGGTAGGCTGTTTGTGAAACAAAAGTCGCATTTCTTCTGCACTTCATCCTATGGCTAAAATGACATGATTGTTGGCGCCCGCTACCATCTAACACTGAAACAGAAAATACCGAAGACACCTAGCAGCCCGCAATCACATGTTGCTGCACTATGACACGATCGTATATCTGCTCCGCACCGTCACCTGTGCGTGACGGCACACCGCCGTGTGCTCACCATCCAGGGGAAAGCGTTGGGCCCGGTTTCGCCGCCGCCGATGATTTTCGTTCTGTGGTTGACTTTGCCGCAGCAGTGGCTTCTGTGGGGCAGGCCGGGGATGGCGCGGCCCCAGACGGTGCGGTCGGGCGATGTGAAGAGCCTGCTCTGGGGACGGCCGCCCCAGCTCGGCGGGTCGCTCACTCGCACGTCCACCGAGAACTGCCGGTGGCACGCGCTGCTGAGGTCGCGCCGCGCCCACTGCATGTCAGATGACGACACGGCCGTCATCAGACGATGGCACGGTTGTCACCAGACGATGACACGGCCGACATTCAGACGATGACACAGCCGATATTCAGACGATGGCACGGCCGTCATCGGACGCAGCGCTGCTCGTCGCCGTACTAGCCGGCGTCAACTGAACCGTTGCAAGACTCAAGGCGCAACACGATAACATTCCGCCACAAAGCAACTCCGTCACAAGGCAACGCGACAGGCCAGTCCCGGTACGGACGTCGACCGCCCGCGGACAGCCAGCGAGAGGGGGGCCGGTTCGGACACGTCACACGGCTGCAACTCACTGTGAAGCTGACCGGCGGCGGGCTGTTCGGCCGCCTCCCCGCCGGCGGCGCGCGCTAGCAGCCGACCGAGCGCCCAGAGCGTCACGAGCGTGCGGCCGGCCATCGCGTGCCGGACGGCGCGCGGCGCAGAGCGGCGCGGGGACCGCGGTCTCTCCAGGGGCGGTGGCGGCGACCGGATCTTGCAGTGAAGCGGAGCAGTCGGCTCGCTGTCAGCGCTGTGTGTGTGTGTGTGTGACATCGTCAAACAGGACGGCCGGTAACCGCGGGCAAAAAGCGGTCCTGCTGCGACCGAAGGCGCTCTGCGGATCTGTTGCCGGCTTTTTGCTAGCTGGCGATCAGTTTATTACCGGGTAACGTTTGTCATGGGCCACGTCACAGCTTCAGCGGGTCACGATCGCCTTCAACTTGCGATCCCGGGTCGGGAAGTGGGGTCCTTCAACAATGTGACATACCGGAGAGACTGTACGTGGTGAATCGATGTTTCAAGCTGCGTTCATAGTCAAGCCTGTGCTGACCCAAACGCCCCGCCTGGCTCGGAAGTTCAAAGGTCAACAAATAGCCTGGTTCATGACAGACGGGGCGAAAACGGGTCACCTGCCGTGAGAACGCTGATGATACCACTCCAGTCTCACGGTTCGGACGCCGCACCCTGCAAGACAATGTCCGTTCACCTTCCGCCGAATCACCACCAGGCCGTTTTACTTGATCAGGTTGCCGGATATAGCTCGCCAGAGCCAGCCCCACGCCAGGATGTAACCCATATCAACGCGCCGGCCCCTCAAGCACCCCAAACGTCCTCACCGACCAAACATCCGCCAGACCTGAGATAGGCCTGGGATTAAAGACGCAGCCTGTCTTTTAGGGGGAGTGGTGGTGGTGCTGGTGCTCAGGTGCACCAGCACTACTCTCCGGCAGCTGTCTCCAGTTATGTGCTGATCCGCTCTGGCTGCACCCACAACAGCCCGCCAAAACCCTCGCCGAGATCAACCGCCGGTACCACATCCAGGACATCTTGGACGACACCGAGGTAGAGGGGAAGACTCTGGTGTTAGTGCGCTGGTGGCAGGCTTGTCGCGGGGAAGATACGTGGGAACTGTTTGACGACCCGCCACACGGATTTGTGAAGACATACCCAATGGAGAAACGGGTGGGTTTAAACTCCCCTACGCACTGGGGTCGTCAAGGTAGGCCGGGGCCGAGGTGTCTAAACCCTGACACCTGGTGGCGGTGCCTCCACCACCGCCTGCACCGCTGCCAGCGCCGGCTACCTAGAAGAGTTCTCACCGAAAGAAGTGCTGGGTGACCACGAGAGAGGCTATAAGCTTCTCAAGCACTTGAAGGACACCAAGACTCAGTTCAGACTCAGATTAGAGGTCCAGCTGGAGAAATGGCGCGTTTTTTACAAAAAGGCAGTGTAAAAGCGTTTCAGTGCAGGCCTCTCCCACCAGGTGCATAGGTCATGCCCGACTCACAGCCGCGTGGTGAACAAACCCGAACGCTACCATCCACGCCAAGTTCTGATTAAGTCGAAAAGCCTTAGGAAATGCAACCACAAATTTGTCAACCAGGTCACCAAACAGACACGAACAACAGCATTAGCTTATCATGGGTTAATGCACTGCCCTCAGCCTCTGCGGAAATATGCTCCACCTACAAAAACGCCGATGCAACTTTTCAAATCATGCACATAATACTCCCAAGCCTACGCAATGTACATCTGGCAAGTGCCTGGTGCCAGCCACGCCCGACGCGAGAAAGTATCGTAAGTAATCGTCCTCATCAAGCAATGGCAAACAGCAAGGAACACTTTTCAGCCAGGGAGGTCAAAAATGCAAATCAGCGACTGACGTGGGAAAACGGCACGCAATCCGATAGATGATGATACAACGACAGTGATGCAAAGCAAACATCGACGCGAACACATATGGCATGAATAAGGACATCAGGCCGTTGACATCCGCGCACCCAAATGTGGCAAACAGCGTCCAGCTGGGCATATAAGAACTTCACGCAAGATGTGTGCGAGGGCGTGCGTAATGGAAGGTACATAAGAAACAACTTCGCGCAAGGTGTGCACGAGGGCGTGCGTAATGGAAGGTGTAACTAAAAGCCAAGTAGTGTCAGATTACCAAGGGTGAGGCCTCTGAGACCAGATGTAGGGCACCCTGTTCCATGAACTTCCCGCGGACGGACTGGCATTGTCGCGAAACGCACGGCAGATGCGACACATCTGAAGTTCACATCCACGCCACCAAGAAAAGCAGAACCGAGGCAACACAAATCAACCGGCTAACGGCAAAGCCGCGGCAATCCACCTAATGACAACCAGAGTGCCGCAGCCGTCGCCGCCAACGAGCGGGCCCAGTCAGTTCGCAGCACTGGGTCGTCGGCAGCCGTCCGTGCGACCAGCCTTGCCGCGCCGGACCGCGAGACCTCCGGAGCCGGGAGCCGGGAGCCGATCCGGCCGACAGCGAGGAGCAAGCAAGGGCAACTGCACAACATGGGTAACGACTGCAGCTGGCGCCCAAGCTGTGGCAAATTCGGGGCGCGGAAAAAGCGAAACCGACCGTTATTACCACGATTGCGCAGGACGAATTTCGACGCGAATTACGACGCAACCAGTTCTGAATAGAACGGGGCTCACTTGTAAGAAAATTAGCTTCAAGGCGCAACATTGGTGGGTCTGAGTCCCGCGACAACACCTTCAAGTTCCGCGCTCTGTCGCCGCAACAGGTCACCTCGATATATCGCTCAGAAGAGCCCGCCGCCCGTAACGCCACGACCATGGCGGCGGCAGTGTGGACGCTGTGCCTGCGTGCCACACCCCAACCGACCACGCCCCCTCCCCCTGTCAGCGAGACGTCGCAGTACCAAGTTTCACTGGCGCGGGGGGCCGGCGTCAATGAAACGGAAACGTGCGCCGGTCCGGTACCGCCCGCCCGCAGGACCCGTGGCAGCTGCTGTGGGTGCTTGGCTTCTCCTGCGGCAGCTATTATTACGGACAACAGGAGGCAAGTCATATTAACGATGAGCACCTGGAGAGGCTGCTTCGCCGCATGCCGTCCCAGCAGGAGGCGGCAATTGAAGTGTAATTCAGGTCAGTTCTAAAGCAATGGCACTGGTAGCACATTTCGAAACAAACATTTTCCCCTTCCTGACCAATGATATTCTGCTTGTTTCTGACGGCCTCTAACGCAGAAGTGTTCCTTGGAGTGTAGGATCTGCTGTAGCAGGGACATCGCAGTGGCATGTGCTTTCAAATCAATGCCATACTTACGCGCCAAACATTGACACTGGTTCAGTGTGCTACACAGGGTATACGGTTATATGTCGCATGTGCACGGCGTCTGCGCCGCTGCGGTCCTCCGTACAGTCTCCTCTGTCGGCGCTCAACAGCCTGAGGCGCCGATACCACCTCCAACTTACGGGGGACGACAGAAGGCACGTTACATTAACGATGAGCTCCTGGATAGGCTGCTTTGCCGTGTGCCATCTCTGCAATGTCTCAGCACTAAACATCTGATCTGGTCACCGACACCGTCGTTATCCGTGAGAGTCGTTTGGAGTGTTTTGAGAATCCTTTACGACCCTTGCGTCCTGTAATCACTGCAACGGCTCGGCAAAGGCAAAGGCAAGCACCATCTGCTGCGGTCCTCCGTACAATCTCCTCTATCGGCGCTCAACAGCCTGAGGCGCCGATACCACCTCCAACTTACGGGGGACGACAGAAGGCACGTTACATTAACGATGAGCTCCTGGAGAGGCTGCTTTGCCGTGTGCCATCTCTGCAATGTCTCAGCACTAAACACCTGATCTGGTCACCGACACCGTCGTTATCCGTGAAAGTCGTTTGGAGTGTTTTGAGAATCCTTTACGACCCTTGCGTCCTGTAATCACTGCAACGGCTCGGCAAAGGCAAAGGCAAGCACGATCTGCTGCGGTCCTCCGTACAGTCTCCTCTATCGGCGCTCAACAGCCTGAGGCGCCGATACCACCTGCAACTTACGGGGGACGACAGAAGGCACGTTACATTAACGATGAGCTCCTGGAGAGGCTGCTTTGCCGTGTGTCATCTCTGCAATGTCTCAGCACTAAACATCTGATCTGGTCACCGCCACCGTCGTCATACGTGAAAGCCGTTTGGAGTGTTTTGAGAATTCTTTACGACCCTTGCGTCCGGTAATCACTGCAACGGCTCGGCAAAGGCAAAGGCAAGCACCATCTGCACCCTGCCAAGGGAACAGGGGGCACGTCATATTAACGATGAGCGCTTGGAGCGACTGCTTCGCCGCACGCCGTCTGTGCAACGTCTCGGCACTAAACATCTGATCTGGTCACCGCCATCGTCGTTATCCGTGAAAGTCGTTTGGAGTGCACCATCTGCTGCGGTCCTCCGTACAGTCTCCTCTGTCGGCGCCCAACAGCCTGAGGCGCCGATACCACCTCCAACTTACGGGGGACGACAGAAGGCACGTTGCATTAACGATGAGCTCCTGGAGAGGCTGCTTTGCCGTGTGCCATCTCTGCAATGTCTCAGCACTAAACATCTGATCTGGTCACCGACACCGTCGTTATCCGTGAAAGTCGTTTGGAGTGTTTTGAGAACCCTTTACGACCCTTGCGTCCTGTAATCACTGCAACGGCTCGGCAAAGGCAATGGCAAGCACCATCTGCTGCGGTCCTCCGTACAGTCTCCTCTGTCGGCGCTCAACAGCCTGAGGCGCCGATACCACCTCCAACTTACGGGGGACGACAGAAGGCACGTTGCATTAACGATGAGCTCCTGGAGAGGCTGCTTTGCCGTGTGCCATCTCTGCAATGTCTCAGCACTAAACATCTGATCTGGTCACCGCCACCGTCGTCATACGTGAAAGCCGTTTGGAGTGTTTTGAGAATTCTTTACGACCTTTGCGTCCGGTAATCACTGCAACGGCTCGGCAAAGGCAAAGGCAAGCACCATCTGCACCCTGCCAAGGAAACAGGGGGCACGTCATATTAACGATGAGCGCTTGGAGCGTCCGCTTCGCCGCACGC